TCTTTACTATAAACCCTTTATATTTTTAATGAATCATTACCTAATTGCTTCATGCATTGTAGGCAATGGAACCATTGACTTCCCAGAGTTTTTGACGATGATGGCGAGAAAGATGAAAGACACGGATTCTGAGGAGGAGATCAGAGAAGCGTTCAGAGTGTTCGACAAAGACGGCAACGGATTCATCAGGTAGACTTTGACCACAAATCCAGTTTTAATTCGCTTTGCGTGCAATGCAATGCGGTACACGCCTTTTTCTACAAGACCTAAAATGTCGAGTGGACGAGCAGACTTTTTCGGACATTTAAGGTTGAGAACGCAGTTGGTTGAAATGTAATGTTTATATTTCCACCCCATTTGTTTAAGTGCTGCTGAACTTCGTCACGTGATGACCAACCTTGGTGAGAAGTTGACGGATGAGGAAGTTGATGAGATGATCAGAGAGGCTGACATTGACGGAGATGGGCAAGTTAATTATGAAGGTAGGCACATCAGCCCCTTTCTTTTCAATGAGACGACAAAGGGAACTTTGCAATAAGCCTTTGCGTGTTAAAATATGACATAGTAAGTTCTTTAAATTCAAGTGAATATAGCAATTTCAGTTCTCCATACTATAAAGACACTGTTGTCATACCCTGTGATTCGGGACAGGCATTTACTTCATAAGAGACGCCTTACATCAATACACTATTTTTCAATGGATAAGGAGGTCACAAAGGAACCAGTCTATTCCAGAGATGGTAGTCGCTATGCAAACGCCCCAAATCACAAGGCATAGCGACAAGGAATAGTCTGAGGATTCAAATTGTTATGTTTATGTGCACTCAGATAATTCAGTGTATAATTCTTTTTTTCTTTTCAGAATTCGTGAGTATGATGCAGAGTACAGGCAAGCCATAACTTCACGTATCCAGTCGCACTTGACGCTATATATTCCGAACTTCAGTATTACTAATAGTCGAACCCGTACACGCCGTTGAACTCCTGCGGGCCACTCCATGCTTGGTGTCACCACCAGTCACCAATTACAAAAATCGTATAGGCGTATGTCAACTATAATCTCCACTACTTAGTCACCCCCTGATGATAAAATAAGATATAGTATCAACAATTAAGTCTTCTCCAAATTCCATTTTAAGAAAACCATCTCATTGACGTTACATCTGTATTGTATATATTATACTCAGGCTGTTTAAGTGATGAAAATTTTCAGTCGTGTAATTTCAAAATAGAAAAATGATTGTGCGAAATCAGTTTGTACTGAGTGAAATTTTGTTTGTCATATGAATTGCTCTTTACAAAAAAAAGCTCAGGAGGCTGAAACAGAATTTTCGTGCGGGCAAGTGGTATGCAATGCTTAAAAAATTAACGTATAGGCCCTCATCAACTGATCATTTGCATCAGCAATACCAGTGGCAGCTAATCGCGTTCACCTTGGAAATTCGTTGAGGATCGATAGCACGTTCACCTTTGAAATACTTCAAGGCGATCTATGTGGATAATACAGAAGACATGGGCCTGATATTCACAATTTTTCTGCACGGCCGAAAGACCCAAGGCGCTAGAAAAAAAAATGAGTAGGCATTAATGTATGAAAAAAGGAGAGGGTGGTGATCTAATAAACAGTATTGTGTTTTCAATGCTACATTTCTCGTTTCCTCGGTTTAGCATTTACAAGCAGCTCATAAACCTTTGTCATATCGAGTTCATAAAAGTTATACAAGGAAGGCAAACATATTTATTAATAACTGTATTGTATTTTCTTTGATTGTCATGGAAATTTATTTTACTATACATGTACATGTTGCTCGGTAAGTTTGAGATGCGTTTGGATAATTAAATCGACGATTTTATGGTATATGCGCTTTGTCTTGCTTCCTGTGAGCTGTGAATTCATTTAACGCGTGTGACCGTGATATTATTCTATTCTGGATATCCACTGAAACAATTATAACCAACTGTATTCCAGAAACAAGGCGTACATGAAAACTATTTGGGAATAACTACACTGAAGAATGAGAGTTATTTGCAATTCTTTCGAACAAAACACAGTGAGAGATAAATTATGCACGTTTCCTCTACATTTTCTAGAATTGGTCTGGTTTAGTTTTGAAGTATTCGAACACAGAACATTACAAATATTTCTGGAAACTTGGATAAGACGATAAAAAGATACAGTAGAGGTTTGTTTTACGTCAAACATTATAGTTCGCGAAGTAGTGTTTATTTTTCCATAGTGTTATAGGCCTAAGCTGCGATAACACAATCGCGTCGAGAATAATTTTATTAAAATGTCCATTTGTATGTATTAGTAAACACTCGACATTTTTTTGATTTGCGAATCCGTGCGAGACGCCCTGAAAACGGCACTGAAAACAGCTAGTTCGATTTTCCGTTTGGGGCGCAAACCACTTGTTGAGGAAGTGGAGACTACCTGATATAAGAAATTAATACACGGATATGACTGACTCCATGTTGACCTTTTGGGGCGCAAACCCTTGTTTGAGGAAGTGGAGACTATGTGATATAAGAAATTAATACACGGATATGGATATGACTGACCCATGTTGACCTTTTTTTTCTGCCATTGTATTTTTGGGTGTGCAGTGGACTCTGATCGTGAGTGGTAAAATAATCCATCCCTAAATTGAAAGGGTAGCTGCCATCATTTTTTTAACTCCAAAATGCACCTTTGCGTCTCAGTTAACCTTATTTTCAACTTTTGTTTCGCCATTTCAAAGGGTATTTTGCCGCTTTTTTGTTTTTATGCTAATCATATTTCCATATGCAAGAGCAAAACTGTGACGTCATCTTAAGAAGAAGTCTCAATATTACATTGGTTTATACACAAAAAAGGTCTAGCATTTTTGTAGATTTTCCTGGACTCGTCCTTGTTTGTATGCATACCTCTCTCAAATGTTTTCAGTTATAGTATTTCTGGGTTCACAATTTTAACAGAAGCACCTATGCACTGAATAACCATGTCTTCCTACAGTGCTCTCAGTTGTCCGGGAGAGCATGGAAAACTTTAATTGTTTCTTAAAAACATGCATTTTTTAATGAATATTAACCAAATAGAAAAATAAAAGAGTTTTCATACATTGATGAAAAATCCAAAGTTGAAGAAAGATTAACGCCATATCTCATTTTCATATATAGTCGACCTAGGTCGATTTCCATCACTGGACTCTCTCTAAAATTGATCATCTCATCCACTCCCTAATCTGTCAACGTTTCACCAGCACTGGTTTAACCGTATCGTGTAACGAAGCTCAGCTGAACTGAAAATGCAAATACACGAAGAAAGGAGGAAAATAAAAAAAAACAGTGAACGGCGTTTTCATGAAACCTTATAAATGATAAGACTGTCTTCTGCAGTCACTTGATGTAGGGGGGAAACGAAACTTACAAAAAAGATTGTGAATTTCGTAAAATAATAATAAAAACAACAGTCAAGAACAACCAAAATTATGGGTGTCAGCAGACAGATAATATTTGCTGAGTGCAATACTTCACGTAGGCCTATCTTTCCCATAAATGAAATTGAAAATGAAATGAGACATGGGGCTCTCATTATCAAAAGATATCCTTTATCAAAATAAAAAAAATCCCTATTTGTTGCTAAAAATGCTTTTTTAAGTAGGCTATATCACATGACCGATCTAACTTAAATTAACTCGATTATGGAAAAAGTACAGCCATAATTAGGCTACATGTCGTTTATATTGGACATCATAATTTTAGATGATCCCTGAATAAGCCATTGCAAGTAGTAAACCAGGTTTTATTTTACGTGATTAATGCGTGCACGCAGATTATCATTCGGCCAAAGTGACATTTGATTGTCTAGGTCATGCCATCAACAGGGCACTACATACCAGCACCTTCATGGGACAAACGGGTAAAATTGTACATGAAACTCAATGGAGAGTGTTAACAACTGACTTTCTAAATTTCAAGGAGTGAAAAAATTCTCCATTCAATCAAAATTAAGTTCCCTCTCTCCGATTAAAACTAGAGACCTGAAGTAATTGACTGAAATTCAATATGTCGAATACATCGAGATTTTACTCGTGTTTCCACTGGAAAGTTTTTGCACGGTTTCACGGATTTTCACTGTAACACATTCGATCCTTTTCGAGTTTCACCCTTTCCGAGAGAACGTAGCCTAGCCCCATACCACATGTATCAAAATGCACCTAATAAAAATTATTTGAGGAAAACGTTTTATTGAACGCAATTGTTATAAAGTCATTATTCGCTCTCTGGTATCACAATACGGACGAATACCTTGGCGATGAAATATTGGGCCCCCGCAGCGGCTCTTCTTTATTCATTCCAATTGTGAAAATTCACCCCTCCGATTGCAACTCAGTAGAGACCAGACGCATCAAGTTGAGTAAACTGTCTCCACTAGTGGATCGAGATTTCACTCGAGTTTGCACTAGAATTTTTTTTTATATAATTCAATCTAATGTCACAGTACTTTTTACCCAAAATGTCTATAATCCCTAGTTTCACTCTTTCGGATTTTTTTTTAGCCCAGAACAGGTCCGGTTTGCCGCCATACCACGTTACGCCTAGAAATCTGAGTTCACCGCGCAAGGAAACAGATGAGCAGGGGCCGCGCGAGCGCCTATATATGGACCCAAGCACTCTGTGGAAAATTATGTGTCAACAAGCTCTGTCCCACGTCTAGGATCACGTGGATTATCCACATAAACACTTGAAGGCGTAATTCTTTATCTTCCAAATTTGTCTTTCTTTCTTGGCGGTCATAGTGCACTGAACTCTGGGAAATCGATGTTCTTACACTATACCTGAAGAGTGCATCTCAAATTTAAGTTAAGCTTTGAACTGCGGGAATTAATACCATATTGCTTAAATGTAACGCATTAATTATTTGTTTAATTCCACACCAAACCCTTGCTTAAATCCAGAATAAATAAATTTTGATTTATTCGGCGAGTAACGCCTACGTAGATACATGTATATTCAAAGCGTTAAAGCAGTTAATTGTGACCAAGGGCAGATCCATGACGCTTGGGGGGGTCCTAAATAAGGCCAAGTTTGGGAGCTTTCATACATTTGGGAAAGAAAAGGAAATCCTACAAATCAAATACACGTATCAAAATAAGAAGTTGGAATTACTGTTGTTATACCTTCTAGCCCCGTTCGGAATCTGCCAGTGATTGTAGCATACGGCCTAAATTGATACTCACGAGCTCATCGATCCCGTGTCAAATTTCCATACAATGCATTTTGCACCATGTCTATACCATACGCAGGCGCGAGGCCCAGATGCACGCAAAGAAAAATGTACATGTGCAGTGCACATGTACATGTAGGTCGCTATATGGTCTCTATGAATGGCTGTGAAGCTGGGCTCTAACAAAGTTAGTTCTCTAACCTCCCCCTCCCCATACACACCATCCGATGAACCAAATCGACCATGCAAAATACGCTTTATTGTTGTTTAAGTGAATATGCATATTTAGTCTGGTACCGCTGCTTTTTATTTTATGGTATCAGATTACGAGGGAATGGACGCAAAACTTGAAGCGATAAGCAGAAAATGCGCAGTGCGTCTTTTCTGCATGCTTGCGTGCACATATTGATTCTGTTTACTCAAAGCCGCGGCCAGAGGAGTGCCCCACTTAACAGCGGAGTGCTGCGAACGCATGGTGCACGACACAACGGACACCTGTTGAATCTCATCCGTCTCAAGTTCATTCCACAACTTCAAAATGGTAAGTAATATAGAAAAAGAAAACAGAAGAACGGCATGCTCATTAGTGCCTGATTATAATAATATAAGGCTTCGTAGCCTAGGCGTAATGTTAGTCGTTTTGAAGTCAGCATTCGTGTGCCCATAAACTGATATTTGTAAGTGATATAGGATATAGGCCTAGGCGGGGTCCAGACAATTAACTCGACCGTTGAGACAACTCGACCGTCCGAGCGTAAAAAGGAGAGACAAGTCGACCTTTGAGACAAGTCATCCGTTGAGATCATAGACAAGTTGTCCGCTCTACCACGTCGTTGTTGAGATGTATACTAGGTCTCTGCCTATTTATTGGAGGGAATAATGCAATTTCACGTTTTATGTAGGCCCTATATTTCTGAGTTAATATATTAATTATGACGGTGGTAATAAGTAATCTTTGCGTGATCGTGACCTATATTAGGCGGGAAACAATTTAGCCTACCTTTCGCAATATTTGAAATTCCTGCTTCGTTTTACGACGGACGACTTCACCTTTTTACAACTTTTCTATCGCCTTTTTATTAAAATTCCAATTGAGAAGAAGGGAAAGGGAGCAATGTCAAACCTTCCACAATCTGTCTTGGATTTCTATCAATAAAATTAAAGGAAACAATTTAGACCTACCAATTTAAAGCCACTTTATGTAACCATGAAAGCCGTCAGAAGCCTGTATAACGCTAAAAAAATTTTGTGCTCTTACGTTAATGCGGCACACACGTAAGTCAAAGACACCATTGCGTGTATGTGGAAACCGTTAACTGAAGCCCCTTGTACCATAAATGATCAAGCACTTGTCACGGCATATACATACATGTACATTTGTATATATTTTCTGGAGCCCTGGACACGATGGAGGCACCCTCGTTGCCAAAACTATTCGTTGAAAATACTTCAAATTCAAACTGTGTCTATTACCATGATTACTGGCTTCACACTATAGCCTACACACTTCTAAAACTTAGTGCATTCATGGCATATTTATGAGATTTAGTTGGAAATAAAAACCATCCCAGCGTCCGGAAATTGGGCAGATGTTGGATCAAGTGGGCCGGGCCACGAGTGCCAGACAGGGGAGGCTGCCGCGCTGCGCACTGCTGTTCGTCAGCCCTGTAAATGCTATGCCACTCAGAAACAAAGATCTTATAGCGCCGCGAAGTGGCGCGAAATTGTCCAAAATGCAACATCCGCGGGATCGGACACAGTGTCAAAAGCAACAAATCTTGTACCTGCTCTGACCTACCAACTTATTTCAATATTATTATATGGAGACATCTCGATGGTCAGGTCAACTTGGACCCAAACCAACTCGGACCAATGTCAACTCGGACCCATGACCAACTCGGACCCACCCCTAGTCAACTCGGACCCACCGAGCCTGATACTATTTTGGCAGCTTTGTGATAACAAATGAAACGCAGAAAGCCTGACAACTCCAGCAGCGAGGCTTTCAGCATAGATTCAAAAATATTCTTACTTCTGTAGATGGTCTGGTTTGCAACCAAGATGATTTGTGCCCACTTCAATTCTTTTAAGCAGCACACTAGATAATCATTTTACATAAAACTGTCGTCAAACTATAATCATTCCCGTTTCTAAAAAGTGCAGTGTAAGTGATAATAATTTATCACAATTTAAGAAGTTTAATATCTGAGTTTAGTAAAGTATTTTGACATTCCAGTGGAAAACTTCATCGCCTATTTGGGCATCATAAGACAATACTTTAATTACTTCTGACATTTGTTGATAAGGTGAATGTTTGAAAGTTTCTAAAAAGCTATAGGATCTGTCAATGATTCAAACTCATAATTTTTTATTATAGTGTCTGTGTACAGATTATCACTTATACATGATGAAGTGTTTCCTTCTAAGCATGGCTTAGGTCTGATCGCAATTTTTCACAGTAACACATAATTAGGGGGACTGAAGTTGGATATGGACAGATGAAATCTAAAACTTAAGATTTTAAGGTTGAATAAAATAATGAAAGGCTCAATAAAATAGAGGTGAAAAGTGTCATTTAGAACACTCTGATAATTAATCACGCAGAAACTAAACATTCCGCAGGTTGGGTCCGACTTGACTCGAAACCCCTAGGCCTATACATGTAGCATCCACTTACCACGACACCCCTGCTTATGGAGTTTGTTTGGTTTGCAGTAAGGGAAGAAGTAGAAAATGAAGAAAAATTTGAGAAAGGCAAACACCCCTTTTTTTACTTGTCAACACACTGAGTGTGTGAGCCTGATATAACGGAGCATGCTGAGCCTCACCTCTGGTGCATTTGCAGCATGCAGTGCAGCCAGCAGAGTTTAGTGGAGTCCCCTAAACAATTTAGGCCTAACGTGGTATACACTTCGACGTTGCCACCAACTTTCCTCAAGCAGCATTGCTAAACCTCTTTGTTAAAACCTTCAAATTCATTCAGGTAACTACTGGTTCAGGGCCTAGTATTACTACCTGACTGTATGCTTAATTGAAACCTTTGGTCTGAAAGTGCACACTGTACAGGTATATAAATTCAGCAACTTCATTCCAGAAAGCTTTGAAAAGAATGCATGATTAAAAAATAATCATGTCCACTTTACCAACAAATGGCTTTCCATTGTGACCAATTTCAGTGTCGTGAACATGATATTTTGTCTGAAATTTATAACGGTGGCTTCCGGAAATTGGGCACAAATTTAGCAAATTTCTAAAAAGCAATCAGGAAATCAGGCAAACATATAATTACACCTGAACTTTGTAGCTAATAAACTCAAGATTTGTGAATGAGAGTATTGAGAGCTTCATGACATTTCACTTACTGTAAAATATGAGGTAAAAATATTGCTCTACCAAGGCAGTTGTTCCAGGCTGCATAAGTTCTACACCTTTCCTTTGTATAACTTGTAAATCATTATGTTAATATCGTTTGGTTGAAAAAAGAGGCAATTTTTTTATTTCCTCAGGCTGACCAGCTGACAGAAGAGCAAATTGCTGGTAAGATTGTAATCCCAGATTTTCATTACAAATACATGTACATGTACAATGAATGACTGCTTGTTTAAGACAGACAGTTAGTGTCTAATTTAATAATTTTAGTGGGGAAAAAGCTTTGAATCAACCTCAACAGTCCTCAGTCCATCAACAGTCAATGCTATTTTAAAACTTGAACCTGGAGCTGTTGAGTTTGGTAGGCAAAGTAGGCCCTATTCTAAGTAAACAAATTGTACGCACTAATCAGCACAGCTCCAATACAAGTACCACATCAAAGTTAAAAAGTATTAAAAAATACAAACTTCCACCCAGTGTTTGATTAACCCTGTGTCAAGGCTCTTTGATTTTAGTTATCAACTGAAATGCAATGCAACTATGTTTTTAAAGCTGTTGTATTTACATTGATTAGATAAATTCTTCTCTGAAGGATCCGTATGTGGCCATGCTTTTTTGTAAATAATTCCATCTAGATTTTAAGAACAAAATGAATTTCCAACCTGTGAATAGAATTCAAGGAGGCGTTTTCGCTGTTTGACAAGGATGGTGATGGTACCATCACCACCAAGGAGTTGGGAACAGTCATGAGGTCACTTGGTCAGAACCCCACTGAGGCTGAGCTGCAGGACATGATCAACGAGGTTGACGCTGATGGTATGAAAAGTTTTTCCAGTTAATCCCAAATTACGATGGACGTGAATGTCAGCTCTGAAGTACAATCACATAGGGATGGTTTATCAGTGTTTAATGAAATAAAAATTGGCCAGTTTGAAAAATTTAGACCATTCATGGACATTTTTCAGTGTTTTGATGAATTTGTCTCTAGTTTGTTCAGTCTATATCAGTGATTTTTTACTCACTGTTGACCCTAAACATTCGTTGATCTCTGAAGACTGTTAAGTTTAATTGCAAGTTCACAATCATAAAAGGCATAACTTTAATTTTTTTTTTGCTACAAAGGAAATGGAACCATTGACTTCCCAGAGTTTTTGACAATGATGGCTAGGAAGATGAAGGACACAGACTCTGAGGAAGAGATCAGAGAAGCTTTCAGAGTCTTTGACAAAGATGGCAACGGATTCATTAGGTGACCTTTTCTCTTTATCTGTCATATCTAATGTGGATGGAGGTTGATAATCAGTGATTACCACACTGCAACAGTGACTTTGGATTAGAATGTTCTTTGAATTGAGGTCACTGTTAAGGACCCATAGCATTATCATTTTTGAGGTTGTGAAGTGTCAGAGTGTTTCCTAATTTTAGACCAGTCTTTCCTCTTTGCAAATTGTTATCACCCTGCTGTTTGTTTTAAGAGGAAAACTCTAAAGTAATTCCACAGGCGTTGATCATCATGCAGGAATCATAAAAAGATGACATCCATCTGTGGTTAAACAAAAAATTTCCCCCTAATTTGTGGGAGACCTTTGAAAAGCTTGGTGGTGGCAATGATACAGGTCCCACTTGACCTCTGTACCTATGCTCATGCTCAAAATGAGGTAAATACTCGTGGAGTTTTTATCTAGGTAGTGGTTTTTCACTCACTGGCAGTGGAAGGGGGAAAGGCCTGTGACTTTTGGTAGGTCCTTTAATGGGTCGGGCGCAATTGATTGGTCAATTAATGGCCGATGCCTGATGGTCTTATATACGTGGAAATTGCTCAATTTGCATGTTTTTAATTATACATGTAGTTACAATTATCCTTTTTGGTACACCAAAAGAAAAAAAAATTAGAGGGTTGCATGTTTTTCCTTTTTTGAGGTGAAGCTTGTCCGTCTGGAGTCCACTGGTATTATCGTTACATTATAGATGTTGCTGTTTTTTCTACTTTTTTTTTTTTTCTAATTAGTGCTGCCGAGCTTCGTCATGTAATGACCAATCTTGGTGAAAAGTTGACGGATGAGGAAGTTGATGAGATGATCAGAGAGGCTGACATTGATGGAGATGGACAAGTCAACTACGAAGGTAAGTGGTTGCAGGGCTGAGTCACTTCGAGTAATTCACTATTCAAATATTTGACTTTCAGTTTGTTCGAATATCTGAATATTTGGTCATACTAACCGACAGATTGTTGATTAACAAACCATATACAAAATCAGTAGCAATAACACACACAATTGTACATTATATATTGTTATCAATTTAAAGCATAATAGCTTCTCACATCTAGCAGTATCCCCAGTCATGATTTAGTAAGATTTAAGAGATGAACAAAACTTCTTGCCCTGTTGAAAATTTCTATTCCTTTTAAATTGTTTAATGAAAAATTTACTTTTTAAATTGTTGTACGATTGCTGACACTTGTTATTTGAATTTGCTTTAAAAAAGTCTCCATAGTGCAACTTTCTCATTTAAAGCAACAGATTTTCCCTTCGTTTTCATGTAATTTGCATTAGCATATTCAAATTCGGAAACAAAAAAAATATTCTGATATTCGATAATCGATTGAATATTCGGCTATTCAGGTAATTGGCAAAGCCCTAAGTGGCTGTGTACATTTGAGTGGTAAATGAACTAAAAATCATAAATTGTCAAGATTTGGATTTTTTTAAGAGAAAGGTTAGCTGTTTTGATGGAACAAAATGTGTCCTGTTTGGAAAACCAACTTGACTTAAATTTTTTCTAATCATTTTGCAGAGTTTGTAAAGATGATGACATCAAAGTAAGTCTCCAGTGGCCATGTATACCATCGGACGCATTTTGTTATGGAACAGTAGGTCTTTCCATCAACTTGGCAGAAAGCTTGAAGTGTTCATTAGAAAGATCATCTTGAAAAATACAGTGTGCTGCATTGAACCACGCAAGAGTTTGTAGCTTAAGAGTGAGACAAACAGCAACATGCTCTTGCTGGACTCCCATCTTCAGATCTTGGCTTTTAAAAACGGTAATTTTGCATCAAGTTTGTAAATTGTGAACAGTTTGCTTCTGCATTAGCAAGACAGGTTTTTTCATTTGTGAATTTCATGTAGTTGGTAGAATTCTTCTTGAATTTTATACAAAAGGTAGGGTATTTTTCTGCTCTCTTATGTAAATTTTGGATGGAGGAATCATCTCTTTGTAAGTTGATGCTCTTTACATGTACATGTAGTTTTTAATTGATGGGATCTGGTGATTCCAAATCTGTCGATTGTGAAAACTCCTGGCCTCAACAGGCATCTTTGCTCCAGGAAACCCTTGTTACGTGAAGTTTAGCATACATGTACTGTGTTGCAGGGTGAATGGATGAAGAGCAGTCGTCAGACTAGATCAGTCCAGTGAAGGGAATTAACCCAGTGATGGTATTTAAAATCCTAACATGAAGCAGGCGGATAAGAGCAAGTTGAGAAATCTCCCGTGATAATTATATGAAACAAAATCACCTAGGCCTAAAGTTAAAGTTGGCCTGTTGTTAAAGTATATATTTTTGGTACTTTCCACATTCATATTTTTCTTATTTACGTATATAATTAGCCAGATACATGCAGTGTAGTCACAGAAACAACGGATGCTTAAGTTGATGGTCGAATTAAACTATGCACAAAGCTTTTGTTCAAAGTTGGTTCCATTTTCGTGTAGTGCCTTGGAGAAAATAATTATTATACCTATTATTCATTGTTTTTCTCTTTGTTTGGATTTTATTAAAATTCTTGACTCTAAAGTATTCAAACCTCGGCTGATTTGTCCACTTTTCGATCAGAATGTGGTCCAAATGGATAAATACACAGTGGGCACTTGTAGAGGACAATCTTGTAATAAAATTATGTTGCAAGGAACAGATTTCGAGACTCCAATTTTTCTACTTATTCTTTGTTTTCCCACTGCTCTTATGACAAAAGTACATGTAATTTGTTCCCTGCAACTTTTAGATAACGAGAGTCGACTGTAAATGTAAGGGGGCTGGGGGGCACCCTCGCACAAGCATCGAGTTTTCAGGAAGCAACGGATGAACACTGCACGGTTTTTCTGTAATATGTGTACACATAATTAGCTTACTTTTCGTTGATAAGTCAATGTAACCAAATTTTCATTCGAAAACTATAGTTAAGTTGATTGGTTCACATTTCACTGCATATAAACAGCGCATTTCAAAGAGCAGTCTCAATGGGGTAGTACTGCCAAACAATATTTTTCTTCATGCCAGTAAAACCGGTACCGTATCTTGAGCCCGAGGCATTTTTTTTCAAATGCCATGAGCTTTGTTATATTTCGTGGGTCATGTTTAAATATTCAGCACCACCGTCGTAACAAATACACATGTACACTGTGATGCAAAGAATAGATGCTTCATGCAGGAACAAAAATCGTCACAGTCTGGCAGAGGACATTGGAGACGAAAGAGCGATAAAGCACTAAGAACGCGACTCGGATTCTTGTTCAGTTCTGCATTTTATTTGTATGTATGTATATACATGGAGGTAGGTATATATCATATATGACTTATGAGGAGCAGTGGCGTAGCCACGGGGGCACGTGCCCCCCCCCCTTTCCCGGTGCCCCCAGGTGCCTCCTCCCCCGAAAAAAAATGGATGAATGGATATGGAACAAGGCGAACAAAAAAGCCCTAAAAAACTACACCACTGAAAGCTGCCCCCCCCCCATACGCTGGTTTCCCTTGAGACCCCCCCTAGTAAAATCCTAGTAACGCCACTGATGAGCAGAACATTTCCAGCGCTTGCGAGATTGTCACTTCCTCCCCCCCCCCTCTCGAGGGTCCAGTCCAC